CAACAATTTCTGACATTGCCAGTCAAGCCGAAGACCCAATACTATTATGGGCTACTGAACTTCTTTAGAATATTTTGCTGAGTGTACACACCTATAATATTCAAGTAACAGAACTTTACACAAAAAGTGGATGCAGATGAATGTCCATTTTGTATCTGTGTACTCAAATGGCTAGGATCGATAAGTTACATTCTCTCAATGAATAGAGGGATTTGTTCTAATGGTGTATGTAAGTAGGATATCATGGCTGCATCTTGTACAGCAATTAACCACTAGGAAGAATGTATACATTGTGTTAATTATTGAAACTGTCCTACCAGTTTGGCTTGAAACTGTCTCATTGTTATTTGTTTCTCAATAAATTTACAGAAAAAATAAAAATAAAAATAAATAAAAAGTACTTGACCTGATCAGTCACCAGAGAAATTTCAGTGTGATAGAACTACATATTCACCAGAATGACTGAACTGAAAACCACATATAAGGTCTATGGTACAACTGAAACACTCCTACCCTACTGGAGAATTGCCATGACTATTTAGGAAAACTGTTGGGTGATATCAAATACAATTGAATATATGTGAATGATTTTAAGAGCTAAGTCCCATTATATTCCAAGTCACTTTCTGCGTATTGTACTGCCTTGACGCACATTCTTATATGCACACTTATTATGAGGTGAATGGGGAATAATCATCATGTCTGTACTTAAGGACTGAATAAATGAAGCCAGCAAATAAATATTAAAATTAGTGGGCTGGGGAGATAGCTCAGTAGAATAAGCGCTTGCCTGGCAAGCGCAAGGGCCCAAATTCAATCCCTGATTCCACCAAAAAAAAAAAAGTTAAAAATAAATAATAAATAAAGCCAGGTATAGCACAGCACACATGTAATCCTGCTACTCAAGAAGCTGAGGCAGGATTATCACAGCTGAGTATGTATATAGCTATGACTCATGAATTCTAGTCCTAAGTATATACTGAATAGAAATGTATACATTTATTCTACAAGATATATTATATGATATAGCTAAAGAGTGCTGCAGTGCAGGCCTGTACTCCCAGCGCTCTATAACGCTGAGGCAGGAAGATCCCAGGTTCAAGTCCAGCTTTGGCAACTTATGACTTAGTAAAACTCTGTCAAACTGAAAATTGTTAAGGGGCAGGGGATATAGCGGTGTGAAGGCCCTGAGCTTAGTCTAGAGTGCACTAACAAAACTGTAGATGAATGTTCAATAACTGTTCATTGTACTAATATTGAATGATTTTTTTTTTTGGTACCAGGAATCAAACTCAGGACCCTGCGCTTGCCAGGCAGGCGCTTGTGCCACTGAGCTATATCTCCAGCCATCAAAAGATTTCTTCCAACTATAGAAATTTTCCAATAACCAATAATACAAAACAAACCAAAATAAAACAAGAACAAAAAATCAATATACCTCAAACTGGAAATAACTTAAATAAAAACCTGTTATATGATTCCATTCTAAAAAGCTCACGCAGGGGCTGGTGAGATGGCTCAGGGGTCTAAAGCACCTACTTAGAACAAGCTTAGCAAAGCACAGGGACCACGGTTCAATCCCCCAGCACCACATGCCAGCCAGCCCTGCCCCCTGGTGGGCTGAGCTGGCCACACACACACACAAATCGATAAATAAAAAAATTAAAAAAAAAAAAAAAATAACCCCCCCAAAAAAAATAAAAAGTTGGGGCTGGTGAGATGGCTCAGTGGTCTAAAGCACCTATTTAGAACAAGCTTCGCAAAGCACATGGACCATGGTTCAATCCCCCAGCACCACATGCTAGCCATCTTCGCCCCCTGGTGGGCTGAGCTGGCCACACACACACATAAATAAAATTTAAAAAAATAAATAAATAAAAAGTTCACGCAAACAAGTGAAACTAATCTTCAGTGGTATTAGTTAGAGTACTGGTTCCCCTTGAGAAGGTACTACTTTCTCAAGTGACTGGATGGTACTAATGAGATTATTTCTGGTCCAGGGGTTCCTCACACTAATGTGTTCCTGTTGTTAAAACACATCTACATACACTGTACAACATGGATTTTTCAGAGATATGCCCATGTTCAACAACCATTTCTTTCTTTTCTTTTTTTTTTGTGGAACCGGGGATTGAACTCAAATCCTTGCGTTTGCCAGTCAAGCGCTTATCCTACTGAGCCATCTCCCTGGCCCCAACAACCATTTCTTGTCTACTAAATTTAATATTTTGTGCATGTGCACACACACTAATGATCATATAAGAAGTTCAAGAAAGCAACAGATGTGACAATAAAAATAGATTAATATGTCAAGAGATCTCTCCGGATCTAGCCCAGGCCTGCCGTGTAAGTTAGACCTTCCTCTGTGCTCTCGGGACCCCTCCACCCCTCCAGATACAGCCCAAGTCCAGGCCTTGCAAGTGTGTGGGGGAGCTCCCCTGATCCCCTGCGCCTGCTGGTACCCTCCAGATCCAGCCCACGCCTGGGGTAAAACTCTGCAGCTGAAGTCCCTGCAGAGAAAGTAGGGGCCAGAACCACACAGCTAATCTAGGAGCAGAACATCTTGCCAGAGGGGCACAGCAGGTTCATTCCTAAGGGCTGCAGCAGGAAGGAGCTGAGCACAGTAGCCAGACCCAAGCCAGGCACAACTGGATGAATTCAAACTTTGTAGAGCTGCACCTGAATATCAGTAGGTGCTAAGCTTATAACTACACCAAAGCTCTACATCAAAGGTCAGAAGACAGTGCTATACAAAATGACAAAGGAAAGGAGCAAAATGCAACCTCAGACCCCAAGCCCACCCAGAACAAGTGCAGAGAACACTAGCAAAGAAATTGGGAATCACACAGGTAATATGTCAACATTTTTAACATATTAGGTTAGAAAAGGCAATCCTTTTCTCCTTCATTCTCCTTTCAGTTTTTCTCATTCCATATGCAGTTCTAAAATTCCATGGTTTTAATTTAAGCAATTACCGTATGACAATATGGGTCACCAAATATTCTTTCAAAAACTTCTTCTGCTTCCTTAAAACTGCCATGTTCCATACAAACAGCGATAGCCTTGAAGACAAAATGACAAATACACACTTAGACTATTTTTACAAATATGTAATAATTGTTACTATGGAAATAAATAAGTCTGAAATACTTCATTTCACACATTTTCATATTCTAGGCATGGTATTGCATGCATATAACCCACACTCAAGGCTAGCAGGAGGTCAAGTGAGCCCAGACTGGGCAATTTAATGATTAGTAACACCCTGCCCAAAAATAAAGAGAACAGGTGCTAGGGATGTTGCTCAGTGTGACAGCCCTGGGTTTAATACCAAGTACTTCCTTAATGAGCTTAATAAATTTTATTTGATAAATAACTTTTTAAAAAATGAAGTATCTGGCTTGACAATGAAATATGAAAAAATTTCACTGGTCCTGAGAATAAGTACTAATAAATGTACAGCATTCTACCTCTAATTTAGGCCAAACTAAAAGCTGGCATTGGGTTGGAAAGATCATAAGCACCTTCCTGGTAAGTGCAAGGTCCTGAGTTTAATCCTTGGTACCACTAAAGTCAGAAGGGCAATAAAATTAAAATAAAATAAAAGCTGGCATTAATAAATCAGAAGTTAACTGATATTCAGGACCCATTTAAATATGGTACATCCCTGACTAATCAACATTCAAGTTGCAAACTTTCACAGATGAGAACGGCCCTCACATTTTGTTTTCAATAATGTACATTTTATATTTGTGTCAAAGTTGCAGTATAAGACTTACTCTGGGGCTGAGGAAATGGCTCAGTAGAATAAGCACTTGCCTGGAAAGTGCAAGGACCTGAGTTCAATCCCCAGTTCCACCAAAAAAAAAAAAAAAAAAAAGACTCTGTTGGACTTATAAACAAATACAAAGAATAAACATTCTCCCAGGATGGAACTCGTTCATTAGTTGGGTACTTACTGTAATTTTCAGTGAAAGACAAATCAGGACACAGATGATTTATGTGATAGTAAAATTCACTAGTCAGGATCCGTAGAAAATCTCCACTTGAAACCTATCATGTCAGATACTTCTGAATGATTTTATACACTGGCCTTTCTGTTTGTTTGGGTTTTTTTGGTCCAGGGATTGAACTTGGGACCTTGCACTTGCCAGGAAGGTGCTTATACCATTGAGGTATCTCCCCGACTACACTGGTCTTTATGACATCACCATGTGTTAAACTACAGAATGACCATTTGTTATACAAATTTGGCAGGCTACTAAACTGCCTGTTGCCTTCCATCTAAGACAGTAGAAATAATAAACTACTTTACAGAATTGTTATTTTTGTACACTCCACTTTACCGCAACATTGTAGTTTGGCCAGTTTCCTCCAGGGTCCCCAAAGACTGGGCAAAATGAAAAATCTTGAGTTGAATTCTTATAAGGGGTCATTTCTCTGTCCATTCTCTTCTCTTCACATCTCAATTCCACTTGACAGTCACTATACTAATTCTTGGAAGACATGGAAATCACCTTGCTTTTCTGTCCGAACTATAAATTATATTTTTTTATTCTAAAAAATTGAGGGGGGCTGGGGAGATGGCTCAGTAGAATACGTGCTTCCCTGGCAAGCACAAGGGCCTGAGTTCAATCCCCAGTTCCACAAAAAAAAAAAAAAAAATTGAGGAAAAGCTTAGTTGAAAATAGTCCAGGGGCCCTGCCCACTAGCTCAGTTGTTTAAGTGCCTGCTTAAAAAAAGCAGTCAGTCTCTGGAATGGGTGGTTCGATTCCAGCATACTCAAGGCAAACCAGACCAGCGCTGGAGGCAATCTGGAGCTGCCAAAAAAAAAAAAAGAAAGAAAAAGTCCACAGTATTTGTTTTTTTTTTCCCGGAAACAGGGACTGAACTCAGGCCCTTGTGGTTGCCAGGCAAGCACTTATTCTACTGAGCTAACTCCCTGGCCCCCACAGTATTTGTTTTGACTGTTAGAAAAATACTTTTCTAGTGTATCTTTCAATGACTTTTTGGTTTTTCAATCAACTAAAATTCAACATGCTTAAAATTTTACATCTCCTTTGGATTTATGTGCAAACATGAGAAGCATAGAATTCTTTATCCTATTTTTAAAATATAATCTAATTTTTAAATGTTTTTTATCATATTATGTAGGGACTTAAAGTTCAACATATCAATACTTGATGAAAAATACCTGTTCCTTATTATGCCTAAGA